AACAAGAAATTGTGTCTGTTTATAGAATTAAAGAGAAGGTATTATCAAATAAAACGAAGCAACTTAAAACAACTTACATTGAAAGAAATGTTTAATAAAGTAAACAAATAAATATTAAGCTTTTTTTTTTTTTTTTTGTAAATTTTGATATCTTTTAGATTATAATTGTTCTTTATTTCATAAATTAAGGTTTCATATTTTTAATTTTAGAATTTCTGCATGCCATCTTACGAGATTTGAACTGATGATCTATAATCCGGAATCGCCGAAGTCCCGGATTAACGACTTTTGACTGTATATAGCACTATTCTAACATAGGTATTTTGACATGAAATCGGACTTTCTCTGAAATAACACCAATTTTTTTACATATTTCGATTCTTCTACGACTCAAATTACGCCTAAATATGAAATTTTGTAAAATTTGGAGCGAAATTTTACGGAGAAATTCCAAATTTATGTTTGCACATTTTTTCAGTTTGCGCCAAGAATAGTTCACTTACGAACTTCTTAATATATGGCAACCTAGTTTCCTTTCCGTGGAGAGGAAAAAAGTCACCATCGTTCCTTTTTTCCAAATAATATTCTTTATATTATTTTTAATTATAACTTATTATTTTAAGTAATATTTTTTTTTCGAATTTCATTTTAATTGTTTAAGTTGCACGTTTGGTTTTCGAATAACTTTTTAAAAATTCTATTACCTATTCGAACTGCGTAAATAAAGGTGCACTTTATTATTAATTATGCCACTCTGTATATTATTAAATTTTAATTTGAAGCTATGCGTTATATGTATACCATGCGTAAATTTTTCGCTTTTATGGAAAAATAAAGAATTGAAGCAAATGTACTTAGGATAATGGACCAAAACTGAAAAATTTCCCCTCCCTCCGAAAATAAAATATTGAAACTTCGACCTTGAATTTATTGGGTAATCGAAATATTTAATTTGACTTATCTTCAAAGTCCTAGTTCCGACAACAATTCCGTCAAAATTCGAATTACTTAAGCTGAAGTAAAAGATTTAGTATATATTCACTGTATGTTATTAAAGTAATCAGAGTTGTAATAAAAATAGATTATAGAATTTACGGCTGATGCAACTTTTTGTCTGACTGCACAACATGTAATGAAAGGAAGGGCTTGTAGAGATCTGTTTTTGACAAGCCTCTAAAAGTAGATGTCATACTCCTTTTGTCTCTTCAATGTCAAAAAACTTTCCTTTGAGAGGCAACTTTAGTTTTTGGGAAAGAAAAAAAAAACCACAAAAAGACAAATTTGAAGAACATGCAGGACGATTAAATACACATACTTATTTTCGGAACACAAGCGGTTCTCCGACTGGTTATTGAATAATGAAAAGATGCATTGTCATGCAATACAAAACATTTGGAATACGTTTTCTGATTGAACACGTCATCTGCTTAATTCACAGCCATTTACAAGTCAACTACTTGGGCAATTGCAGAATCGTTTTGATCCTGAGCTTGTAAGACAAACCTAATATCACTGGATTTAAACACTTCTTTAATCTTTCGAGAACGTTCCTTCTTTAGCTCATATTCCAAGAATATTAAGTGAATACAATTATTGCAAAAGAAATTGAATATTCATTTGCACTATGGCTTGGTAGTTTACTAACGAGTTAACAAAAATTTAAATTCTGCTTTTGTGTCTAAGAATACAACAATATTTTAAATATTTACAAATAAAATATTAAATTGGAGATTTAATTGGAGCCTCACCAGTTGCCTGGCGTTTGAAGATTGTTAAATACTAATTGTTTGTTGCGAAGTCTAACGCAGGGTGCATGGTTGGTTTTCATAGTTTTCTAGGTTCTCTTTACAAAGGTTCTCTATGAAAGCATCTTAATCAAATAGCTCCCATGTTCTTTCTATATTCAAATAACCAACTAACCTAGTTTATTAAGCGCGATTTTCAAGTAAAGTTACTAGCAAAACCCGAATACTCATTAAAAATCATGTAGCTTGCCAATCGGGAATACCATGAAAGATACAGCGCCAATAATTGAATTGCTGTTACGGTCCGCTGTTTCTAAACTTAGATGGTCATTCCTTAATTAAATAGCCCACCAGCCGCAGAGCGGTAAAGACGCTCGGTCCGAGGTTCGAATCCCGCGAACGGGCTGGCTGCATGGGCGTTTTCGGGGTTTTCCTCATGTGTAACGTGTATACGAGCCAGTTTCCCTTAGAAAGTCCTCCACGAAGGCATCCCTCCCCTTTAGGCAGATAGCCTCGTGTGCTTTGCCATAATTAAATATCTACTATCCAATCCAATCCTTAATTAAATATAATTGATTTGTAACTTCTACTAGAGCTGACGGTAAGAATTGAAGTGCAAATAAATAATATCGTGTGCAATCTTGATTAATATAAAATTAAAAATATTTGCACAGAAAAAATATTTGCATTCAGACAGAAAGTTTTTTGAAATATTTGCAATTACTTTATAAGAAGCATTTATTAATAACCGTAATAATTACTTATTATATTACTGATGATTAGGATTCAGTTCTTGACATTTACATTCTAAATTAGAATTTTAAGGATGTAATGAAAATACGCTACGCACAAAAATACATTTTAGGATAAAATATGAGTTGATTTTTTATGTTTTAAAACTTCTTAAATTCATTAAATAAACATCGTATCCTTGTTGTTAATTGAATCCAGATTATTGTCGGGTGTCGTTTATATAATTATTCTTACTTGTCCATAGAATCTGCTGACTTATCCAGCCATTAAGTAGCTGCAGATCATTTCTACATAACCATTGAACTTCCATTAATTCAGTCTCTAGAAGGTTGTAGGTTTATATCATAATTTGACTTTTATAAAAATGATTATTCTAAATCTTATGTTTCTATAAAAATATACTGTGCTTTAAAAATGTGGATGATAGTATCAGCCACTCTTTCAGCCACTTCAAAAGCAACAGTTTGTTTAGAAATAAATTATGCAGTTAATGTCATAAAATTCAAATAAATATCAAACGAAAATTCTCAGTTTTAGACAATTCAATTTAAACGAAGTAGCAGACAATAAAATGCCGAAGGTAAAAATTTACTCTTATTTTTTTAAAAAAGGAAGATAGAGAGAAATAAAAAAAAATAGTTAAAAATTTGAATAATATCATCTATAATTTAAAAAAAAATAGCTTTTCATATAGTATTAATAAATATTTATTATGCATCATTGAGGGAAAAAATGTCATATAATTAATTCTCCTTAAAATTTTACTTGAAATTTAAGGCTAAAATAGCTGTGGCAATTCACTGTAACAAAAATCCATAGACCACATTTGGCGTTATTATCGCTCAAAAAAAAAGATGCCAAATTTCAAAACGCGAAAATATGTAAATTCGTGTATATCTTACAAAAATTTTGAATAAAAAAGTCTAATTTTTTTGCAGATATGCTTAAAAATACACCTACTTTAAGATGATGGTAAAATTTTATAGGTTATAATTCAAATTATTTTTCGAAAAATTTATAAAAATTATTTAAAAATAGAAATTAAAAAAATAAAACACAAAAAATGGGTAAATTTTATTTGGAATGAACCTAAATTTTGAAATGTGAGAGAAAAAATCAAAAAAGTTTAATGAAAAAAGAGATATTAATAAATATTTGCCAAATTCAATTAACATTGAGGAGCTTAAATTTTGAGAGCTAATATTTAAAAAACTTCTTGTACGATTTTTACAAAACTTGGTATTCTGGCATAATTTGAGTCGTAGAATCGAAATATGGAAAAACATTGGTATGTTATTTCAGAAAAAGTCCGATTTTGTGTCAAAATACCTATGTTAGAATAGTGCTATATATAAATCTAATATATATCCTAAGTCGCGCTTTCGAGACATAAAAAACGCAGTTTGAATTTTGTCAATCGGCCCAGTAGAACGGGAGATATAGCACTGTCCTTTTTTTTTTTTTTTTTTTTTTTGAGCAGTGTACATTAATATAAGGTCTTCCCGCGGATTTCACACCAGAAGAAATGAAATAAGAATTACAAGAAAAGAATATTTCAATTTTAAAATGCAGCCACTTAGAGAGAATGTGAGATGCAGTCCCTGTTTATTTATCTGTGTTCTACATAGAGGTTCCGTGCACAGAAGCTGGAAAATTAATATACAATGTGAAAAGCATCCTTGACATGCATATTACAGTTGTTTCTTACAAAAACCAACCAGGCCCTATGCAGTGCTTCAATTGCCAGCATTATGAGCATATGCAGAGAGTCTAAATACTAGTCCATTGCATAACATGTTTAAGCATTACCTGCTACATGTCATAAGAATTGTCCAAAATGCCCAGGAAACTTTAAGAAAGAAGCAACTCTTTTCAATGCAAACTACAATAAGAATTCAAACTTCACAGAAAAAAAATAGTCATTTCAAAACCTTGATTTCTAATAGCCAACCATGAGCGTCCAACACTAGAAAATCATATGCTGGTGGCGCAAGTAACACTGCAAACCTCAAAATTACGAAGAAATTGGAAAATAAAAACAAAATAAAAAAAAACTCTGAAGACGACGTTAAAGATTTTACAGAATTTATTAGAAGGAATTATCAAATTTACCTTGAATTCAAACAATCTGAAGAAAAGCTAAGCATCATGCTGGCTGCAGTTAAGATATTTCCTCATCATGAACTTAAATAACTCACCATGAACTCAAATTACATTTAATACTGCTCTGAACTTTTAAATTAGTGCTTATACTACAAGTTATTGGTTTATTGTCAAACAATTACAAGATTATGCATCAGTTAACTACCAGGTTACCTATTTAACCAGCTATGAACTTTATTTTGTACATATCATTACAAAGCTGTTACAAATTTTGCTTTATTTTGTACATATCATTATGTATAAATATTAAGTGGTGTTCTGTATGTTTACTACTTTGTTGCAAGAAATGCTAAAAAATGTAATTGCTTATTCAACTGCTTAATTTTACTAAAGACTCACAATTAACAACAGATGATGGCACCTCCTGCAGCTATACCTTCATTCTTCTTGCCTCTTTTCAAACTTTCAGCACTTCTGTGCACACTAAAATCTACTACAGCTGGATTTCATGAACACAAAAACTTTAAAGACCTCAAAGCCGAGGACCTCCAGCTGTAATGAAGATCAATGATTTTGCAGACGATTATCTGTTTTCACATAATCTTGAAAAATTACAAGCCTTCCTCTCAAATGATAATTTAAAGTCAAATAAGGGACAGAAAAAATATTCACAATTACAAATCAGGTTCCAGAATAAACTGGAAGAAACTAAAATTGAATTAACTGTAAGAAATGAACAGTATGAACTCATTCTAAGGAGGATAAATGTATTAATAACAATAAAACTTATTTGAAACTAAATTTTTTATTATTTCTCTATAAAATGCAAATTAATTAATGTCCTTAAAATGTCATATAATTAATTCTCCTTAAATGAATCAATCTTCTAAAAAATCAATCTTCTAAAAAAATCCAGTGAAAAGTGTGATAGAATTCTTATTTGTTGATGTGGTATTTCAATGAATTTATTCCTTTTTCAATCACGCTATCCCAGTAAGCTGATGACTGTTACAATTTCAGATTTTATAAATATCTTTTTAAAATTTATATATATTTAAATGTTTAGACTTTAGAAGCATTTCAACACTTTAAAAAGCATGCCTCAATTTACACATTTTGTTTTACTTCTTTTCTTTGTCTACATCTTTAATGGAAATATTTAAACTGATTAGCTATGGAATATTATATGTAAATAAATTATAATGTAAAAAAATCAATTTCTTCTAGCCAATTTTCTCTGCCATGGAAGAAACTTGCCAATCCTGTTGGAAATACACTACTTTCAAAATCTTACTTTACCCTTATCCCATTTGCAATACATTAAAATCTTGCATAATAAAGGACTATGTCACTATAGAAATTTATCATGAACTATGTCATATACAGTTAGAATTGCAATGCATCAGCATTAGAACAAATTTATCTTTTATTAAGAATTGATCCATTCAAAATAACAAAACAGGTTATGGCAACATTTTTCACCGCCATCTCAAAAGAGGAACATTTTTATAAATTAGAATGTCCTGTGGACTACCCTACTCTTGTCCCTTTCAAAAGAAATCATTTTTAGCATACATCACTAGCACTTTTTGTTAAAAAATACAATTTTTTATTATTATTTAATTATGTATTAAGTAATCAACAAAAAAGTTTATATTTGCTTTTAATAACTCAAGTGTATTCAAGTTTGGATAACCTTTACCTTAATTATTAAGGTATTATTATTATGTATTAAGGTAGAAATATTACATTATTTATACTTGCAGTATTTAGGTAGAAATTAAATAAATGTCTGCACTCACATTATGAGATGGATAAGCCTGCTGATTCTGACATAGCTATTGGATGTATGCTGGTAAGAAGAATCACAAAGTGCTTTAAATCCCTTTCGTTGTTAAGATTACTCCTCTGGCTGATCATCCTGCGATCATTTGTTTTTCTTCCTTTACTGCGGAGCGCATCCCGTTTTCCTCGTTTAACCATTAAAATAAATTATATAGAGTATTAGGCATTTAGTTTACATTTTGGCCAACAGATATCATTAGTTGTCTACTAAATTGGGGCATTTGAATGCACATAGTATTAGAGCTCAAACTTCACTTTTTGCCACATTTTTCTTACAGAAATGGCTGCTAAAAAACATTCAGTGATTATCTTGATTATTTAATTAAATTATTGAATTATTAATTAGCTTTATTGATTAGATTAATAATTAGATTGGTTATTAATTAGATTTATTGAATCTGGTGCAAAGACTGTGAAGTTGGACTTTTGCCTTGAACCCTGTTTTGAACTCTATCATACTAAACTGCATTTCTAAGGTATTTTTCCCTCAGCGCTTTATATTTTCTTTAAATTTTATACATTTTACTTTTTTATATTATGCAATAAATAGAAATTAACTGTAATTCCACTGAAATTTATTTTAAAAAAAATTTTTTTTTATGGTCATAACATCTGAAATTGGTTTTTCTGGCAACTTAGTTTCTCATGATAAACATCTATATAAAATATATTTTCTAGAAAGAAAAAGTGCATTTTTCAATTCTCCAATATATATAGATTTAAAAGATGAAAAGATTATGCAAGAAGAAAAAATACACAATTTTGGAAGCGATTTCAGTCCACAAATTGAGCAGTCAGAGGGTTAAAGTGAGAAGTCCACAAGTAGGGCAACCAGCATTAAATTAATAAAATACCAGTCCTGGAAGAAAAAATTATATATGATTGTCAAATGTAATTTCCAGTTTCTGAGATTTTCAGCTATAGAGTTGTACACAGGTAATAAATTATACTTTTTGCCTCGTTTAGAAATCTGTAGAAGAACTACAGATTGAGAAATGCTGGGTTATCGTATGGAATAGCAAAAAATGTTGTCTTTAACAAGTTTTAATGATGATATATAATTAACTTTGCAATTTTTCTTCTTAATTCAGTTCTGATCTCTTCTCTGTATAATAATGTTATTTTGTTTATTGACATAAACTGTAATTCACAGATGTGAAAACAAATCTCGCACCAAGCGTACAGAAATACACACTTGTATGCACGTTACCAAACAGTTTTATTGAAAGCATACAAATGAGACTAAATTAAACATCAATGAAAATCTTTAAATTAGTAGTTATAATAGTGCTCTATATGAATAAAATATAAATCTGATACTATAAATAAATTCAAAAATTAGTTCTTCCATTTCTTCCAATTTATTGAAAGGAATCTTTCTTCTGGCCGTTTTTCTGCAGCATATTCAAAGATTTTTTTCCAATATGGAAGAAACTTGTTAACCCTGTCATAAATAAACTTTACCTTCAACTATTATAAACTTGATTACATTGTAACAGTGTTTGATTTTCACAAGATATCAAAATCTTATTTTTAGAAACTAATAGATGAAATATAAAATTTTAGATGGTAGCTTGGTCATTCACAACTAACAGATTTTATACAAGATTTTAAAATAGCCTACATAAAGTTTTTTCCCAAAACTTGTAAGCAAAATTATCATGTAGTGAAATCATGTAAATCAAAAATTCATGTCATCTAGTGAAATCATGTAAATCAAAAATTCATGTCATGTAGTGAAATCATGTAAATAAAAAAAAAAATCATGTAGTGATTGATTGATCTACATGATTTTTTTTTTTTCACTACATGATTTCATTACCTGTTTATGATAAAAGTACAACTAAGACCGCCTTAGGATGTCACCATGAAAGATTTTAAAATGAAACTGGGTTCTTTACTCATTACATATTGAAAAGTCATAAAACTATAACCTGAAATTATCCATGCAGCCAGCCTCTACAACAGGAATTGAGCCCCATTTAAGATAGCAATCTTATCCAGTCATCCACTAACGAACATTTTAATTTATGAAAAATGCCCATGTAATTAAACTGTCAATGAGTTCTACTTAAATTTCAAATAATTTTACAAGGGTTACATTACGTCACACAATTTTTTAATGCAATTACAAAAAACTGCCTTGGTACTGCCAATGCCATATCAAGAGATAAGAAATGCATTTGGTCATCCACAGCACTGGCCCTAAAGGTTATCCACTATGTAAAAAAATAGCTGTTTATATGATATTAATACTAGATCAAAGGGTGTTAGAAACACCTTCTCCCTGGGACATCAAAATGCCTTTGTTTGGTCATAAGTGTTACATTACTGCAATGCAATCATGAGCAGGCATTCCATGCCTACCTACATGATTGTAGGATAAGACAATGTAAAGCATGGCTTCAATCAATAATGATACAAAAACTAAATACTTATGGAAGAAATAAAAAAACGTACCTGTAAAGTAATTTTAAGTACCTGTAAAGTAATCATATTTTACTCCAGTTATTATCAAAACTAAATATTCAGTCTTCAAATGAGATTTCAAAATTCTCATTAACAAGCAATATTTACAAGTTATCTTCATCAATCTCTTCAATGAAATATTCCAAATGTATTTAGAAATGATATTTTAGTAAAAATAGAATTTAATTACTTACATAGCATCCAATTCCATGAAAAGTTTGTAATTTTGTTCTGCCTTTCCCTGTTAGCATATTCTATCTTATTAAAAATCAAATGAAACTGTTAATCTACTTACCATCAAAAACTTTTGAAGAGCGCCATGCAATACAATTACCAATGTGGTGTCAACTTTTCCAGGAATAATAAAATACATAAAAATTTTTAACATCATTATTACACAGATTTAAAATGGCAATTCAATGCTAGTGTTAAACAAACAACTGAAATCTCTTATTATGAATTTGTTTTACAAACTACATGGAACAAAGTGATTTTAGTTATATTTTTTTTAAAAGAAGTACTAAAATATATAATACTTTTACAAATAATAACTTCATTAAATATGCAAAGAATTAAATGCGCAAAAAATGAAAGAAACATTCTTAAAATTTTTGATTTTTGAAATTCTGATAACACATCACTGAAAACAGTCATTTCAAACTGAAAATGAACACAGAGTGTAAAAAGGAGTGAAGGAAATTCATTTGAAAATGCTGGTTATTTAATTTCTTTCATACACAATGAAATTGAAAAGAACACTGTTAGAATATGATTTTTGAAACTCTGACAATATTTCATATGAATTGAATCCAATACTAATATTTTAAACACTTAATAAAAATAACAAATAAAGCATTTTTTACTAATTTTATTTAAATAAATAAAATTAGTAAAAAATACTTTATTATTATATGTTATTAATTTCAAATATAAATAGCTAATGTGATTTAAAATCTTGGATCCTTGTAAAAATCATCAGTACATATGATGATTTACCACTTGTATTAAAGACTGTATTTTGATAAAAAATTATAATTAAATTAGCAGCAATGATAAAATGAGACTTCTAAATTACTACAAGCAATTTTATACTAAAATTATATAACCTCAGATAATTTTTTTTTTTCCTATGAAAATAAAATATTAGACAGACTTCAACTTTTTCCAAAGAGTCTTCAAAATTAAATCAAAAAGAAGTTATAAAAAACTGTACTTTTTAACATCAGTTCAAGTGATATATATATATATTATTAATATTTAACACTTATCATTCGATTATTCGATAATTATCATTTGATTTTAACTCCGTAAGTTAAAAGATGATGAGCATCACTACGCTCTAACTCACAAATTTACAATTAAAGCGAAACGCTTCGTTTCTTGACAGATTTTTTTTAGAATCAGATTATTTCCTTATGTATTAATAATCGATAGCCTAAAATGAAAGGTACCCAAATTCTGATGCCTATGTAAATACACCATCATGAATTAAACGTAATGAAAGCCAAAAATACGCTTTGAATAAAACTTTCACAATTCGCAAATATGTTTTCTAAAAACTTACTATATGTTTAATAAGTAATCACCAATATCAAATACGCGTGTCTGATAACACACGTAAAAATCTAAGTGCGGAATTAAACATCCTACTATACAGCAGACATTAAATATTATGCACACATTAAACCACAGATACAATCCGAGGAAACTGAGAAGGAACTCTTCGCGTACTGGTTGCTTTAAAAATCAGCTGGGTTACCATTTTCATGAACCTATTCGCACACTGATTTCACAGTTACATTTGAGAGATATATTTGACACTAAAAACTCAGATGTGCCGGTGAATTCTTACTATTATTATTAAAACTTCTTCTTCCATTTTTAAGAAGAAAATCTTTCTTGTAAGTCATTTCGTAATCTCAAATGCTGCAAGGTAAAGAAGCAATAGTTTCATTCCCTGCCGAAAAGAAAACAGATCATTCCAAACAACCCTTAAATTTGAAATAGCTCTAAAAGAATAATATGGTACAAATACTGTCCTTAAAAATAGGAATAACATATAGTGTACTTTCGTTTTTCAGTTTTCAATAGATAGCGGTAGGAGAGAAATTTTGGACTGTTATTTGATGAATGCACTAAACAAGATAATTTCTATACAGTCATGTGATGGTCAAAAGGCGATTGGTAAATGTTATTGTTTCCAACTTCTTAACTCTCTTCCCTACCACCAACCTCTCGAGAGGATTTTCGGCTCGCCACATATTTAGAGTGCTCCCATGCCGCACGGCCATTATACATTTGCAAACATCCATATCGTCTTCGGGATTCAAACCCGGGGCCTTCGGCATGGCAGTCAGTGACGCTAACCACTATACCGGTTGGACAGCGTGTGTTAAATTTTTGACTAATACAGTTTACCTTCGTTTTTCAATTATTCTGCTTTACCGTATTCAAAACACTAGGTACAGCAATCCCGGCAAAACACTAAGGGCCCTAGTCTGGATACCATCGAGATAGAAGAACGGGTCGTTTTTTGCGATCTACTTGACAGAGAGCGAGTCTGTTCGTCACCACCTGAATTTTTCCGGTGGTGACGGTCTGGTCAACACCGACTCTACTACAACAACACCGAAGTAGAGCAAGGCCAACTAGATATCTACAGGCCTGCTCCAAGCTGATGATCACATGATCTGACGTCATAATTTTAGGCTTTCAATTTTGTTAGTTGAGCTTGCTTCGCCATAGGACTAGTGCTAGTGAGATAATTGTTTACATGTGTTTTTTCTTCTGAAAAATTTTGTATTTTACCGGAAAGTAAAATATTATATTGTGAATTCGAATTTATAAGAAAAAGTGTGTTTTAGAATGCCAAGAAAGTGTAGTGTACCTAAATGCCGATCAAATTACGATAGCACTACTGAACATGTGTCCACTTTCAAATTTCCTTCGGATCCTGTACTCTCTCAGAAATGGATAAAAAATATTAATCGCAAAGATTTTGTAGCTGGCAAACACAGTAGTGTATGCATTAAGCATTTCGAAGAAGAATTTATCGTTTGAGAAGATAAAGCTGTTCGTGAGACGGTAATAGTAGTTCCTAGAACTATTCCAGCTTTAAAAAAAGATACTTATCCAACGATTTTTCAAAACCAGCCATCTTATTTATCGAAGAAACTTCCCACAAAAAGAAAAACACCGGAAGAAAGAGAAGCAGAAATTGATATTCGTTGTGATAAACAATTTGAACAGTGGAAAAAGAATGATATATTAGCGATTTTGAAAACCTAATAAATGGTTTTGCAAAAAAAATAGATCTTCCCTCTTCATGGATATTCATTAACCAAAGGTAAGATCTTTTGGCTATCAAAATTAGAATTTTTAAACTGTCCAAAAAGTGCTTGTATCTTTAAAAATATTGGAAGATTTAAATGTAAGAGGTTTTTTTCAATGAAAATGAAATTCCCATTGAAAAGTTCAAATGGATATTTGGAGAAGAAAAAGCTATGTGATAAATGGTCTAAACTTGAGACAATGATTAGCCATTTGGATGGTTTTTCTGCTTCTGATATTCATGATGACTGCAATTTAAATTTAGATAAAATATCAAAAACTACTGTTGAAATGTGCAGAAAAACAGAAAATAACCCACATTCTGAGAAATTTTAAGTTTTTGTATGAACAGATTCAATTAATGCAAATGAAACAGCCTTCGTATAGTGCAGAATTCCTTGCCTGGTCTTGTTATATATTTTAGTGTAATCCAAACAGCTACAATATTATACGTAACAGAAGGTATTTTATATTGCCTCATCCGTCATACTTAAGGAAGTTATCTCTGAAAATTGGCCGAGCAGATTCTGGATTGCAAACAAGTCACTGGATGTATTTGAAAAAAAAATGTGAAATTTTAAATGATTCTGAAAAAATTGTCAATTTATTATTAGATAAGATATATATAAAACCACAAGTTTCGTATAAAAGTGGTCGTGTTTTAGGTTTTTCAGATAATTCACAGATGGAGGCCACAACTCTGCAAACATTTATGATAAGCTCTATATTATCAAAAAACAGAGATATTGTAGCAATGTTTCCCATAAAAAACTTATCATAACATCAATTATTAATGTTTACAAAACAAGTAATTGACCATGTACAGTCTTGTGGCTATCGAATTATAACTCTAATATCAGACAATAATAGAATTAACAGAAATATGTTCGAAATGCTTTGTGGTGGTGCATTAAAATCCTCATTTATAAACCCTACCATGCATAATCTTCCTATATTTATATTATTTGATACAGTTCATTTATTGAAATCTATACGAAACAACTGGTTCAATCAGAAAGATTCAAACCAAACATTTTTTATACCGTCATTTGAAAACTCAAATATTGTTTACAATTCCAGTGTTCTACATTTAAAAAAATTGTATGAAATAGAAAAAAATGATATTAAAATGGCTCCAACTTTATCAAGAAAAGTTTTATTTCCGTCTTCTATAGAGAAGCAGAATGTAAGTACTGCTATTAAACTTTTTGATGAAAAGACTTTAGCTGCTCTGCAAATTGAATCACAGAATAATAGAACTGGGTATGGAAAAGATGTCTTAGGAACTAAACATTTTATTGATATAATTTTAAAGTGGTGGAAAATTGTGAATGTTAAACACTCTAAAAAGGCCGTACAGTTTCGAGATGTATTTATGCAGCCTATAAGGACACCAGAAGATAAAAGCTTAGAATATTTATCACAGTTTTGTTCGTGGCTTATATCATGGAACGATTTTTGCCCAACAACAAAAAAACTGTAAGTCACAAATTGGGAAACTGTCAAAAGAAACCCAAGTTGCTCTTCTCCATACAACAGCAACATTGAATGAACTTTCAAAGTATTTGTTAAAAGAATTTTAAATTACCTTTTATTCTTTTAGGAAAATTTCAGACAGATAACCTTGAGGGACGTTTCGGTCAATTTCGACAAATGAGTGGCTGTAATTATAATGTATCCTTACAGCAGATTATAGAGTCGGAAAGAAAACTAAAATTAATTAGTTTGCTTAAAATGCAGTCTTCTGAGAAAGGTTAATTTATTTTACAACATTTTTTTGTAATGATATTGAAGATTTTAATGATTATCAACTTATTGATAAGGAATTTGTTGATGTTTTGCGTCAATCCAATGATGTTAATGTTACAGAAAAAGATATAATGTGTCTAATTTACATTTCTGGATATGTTTGTAGATCTGTATTGAAGCATATAAATTGTAATCTTTGCAAGAAAAAATTAATTCTTGACAAAGAATTAATAGTTGAATATAGTGAAGATTTTGCATACTTAGCTGCTATTGATCGAGGTGGTTTATTTTGGCCAACAGAATTTGTGCTTTTCATTAATACCTCTGCATTTAAAATATTATCAATCCTAATATCTGAAATGTATGAGAAATTATATATTTCATCAAAAAATCAACGTTCTATATTAATAAGTCTCATCACAGAGAAAGTTGAAAACAGGATTATTTGGGATGATAGTATTTGTGAGTGAGGCAAATCATTGCATGATTTGTTGAAAAGTTGTGCCACATGCATTTCCAATATATTGCTGAATAATTACTGTAAGGTTAAAAATAACAATTTAAAGGAAACCAATGACCAAAAAAGAAAAATGAGTAAATTAAATAATTCTGGAATTTAGGTGAATTTTTTACGTAATTTTAAAGTTAAATAATTAGTATTTACAAACTGTATAATTGAGCCATGGATATATATATGAAATTACCTGATCGCGAAAAAAGTATATACCCTTTCCAAAGATGAACATTTCCACGTATAAAATAAATAAAATATCCAATAAAGAGAAAGATATGGCTTCAATTAGATAAGCTTTAAGATAAACAAATTGTAGATCATGATTTAAAAGTAATTTTGACTAAAACTAAAGCAGAAGAAAAGACGAGCGAGAACAATGAAAAAAGATTATGTAGTATGATGTATGAAATGATAGAAGAACTAAATTCAATAGAGGCTCATGAAGTCTGGAAATTAGTTGAAAGATCCATCAATAAGAAAATTACGATTTTACAAAAACTACAAAATAAGATTTTTGATGTAAAAAACTGCATATTTAAATGGATACTTGAATAAACCAATTTACATGGAACAACACACCTGGATTTAAAATCAGATTCAGACTGCCAAGCATTAATAGATTGGATAAAAAAAACCAAAACAAAGTAGTAGTTCAAGACACATTAATCGAAATCATTTGCCGTAAGCCAAGACAACTGGCTAAATCATGTTTATTTTTGTAGACCTCAAATCAGGGGCTACAATGATAAGCCTGTTTTGGCATTCATATTTCAAAAATTTGAATGGCAAACTTCTTGTTGATGTGAATTAATGATGTTTAACTTAATAATTAATATCTTATAACATTGTAATGATTTGCTGGATTTTTCATTGCTTAATACTGCATGCATCTTTTACTATTTGTCTATTATTAAATAAATTACAGTGTATATTTAATCAGATGTTCTTTCATAAGAATTTTTTATAGCATGATATGGTGCTCATTGGGGTAGATTGCATAGTTATGATCTCACTTTATTTCAGGGAATTTTATAATATATTTTTGGATATGCTACAAGATTTCTCGGCTAATCTTTGGAATATGGTAACAGGTAGTTTGGCGACATTTTGGTAAGGCGATAAAGGTTACTAGCTA